AGAGGCCTTGCTTGCAGCTCTCACATTGTCTGTTACTGATTTCAACTCCCCAGTTCTTGAGCTTAAATCTGACTCATTCAGTTCTGCATGTAGAAGATTTCCTTAGAAGTGCAAAGCTTAGAGGAAATGGAAACTGTAAAGATCATGTTTAAGTTTTCTGGAAGTGTTTTAATTCTGAAAGAGATCTGTTCTCCTTTCATTAATTGAAGAGCTTGAATAAATGTTTTTGCCTGATAAGGGATTTCTTTACTCATATCTTGGATTTTAAACTTAAATTATTGAAAGGGGTGTCAGCCATTTATCCCTGGTTGCTGGGATATGAAACCTGTCCTTTTTTTGATGATTTTTATTTTGTCTTGAACATACTGTTTGGGTTTTTCCATGTTCATTAAGTTAGGAAACCTGCTCTGCAGTGTACATTGTAGGATTTAATAAGTGCAGGTGTCAAAGCTGTTAACATGGTGATGTTAAATGTACTTCATGTACCTGCATAACCAGTTAAACATGGCTTCTTGAGGTTTTATTTTTATGGGTGTTTGTTCAAAGCGAGGAGAGTGCTGATGGAAGGGATGGTAACTGATGTTCTTGTATGCCCCTCCCTATTCCCCCTTCCTTTCAGTTACACTGCTAGTGGTGTTATCCATATTGATGGTGTCCTTTAGCAGTAGTCTGTAAATATTTTGCCTCATGTGCAGTGACAGCCCTTAAATCAAACAGAGGAGAGAGAGGCAGAATACTTTGAACATTATCTATGACTGACTACTAATGTGAGTTACCATCTGGAAAATGATGCAGAGCAGCTGCAGCTTTTGGCATCTGACGGGGCTGTACAGCTCTCCTCTTTTAGTGCTGAAATGGACTTGCTTGCTTGATCTCCTTCATGGGCTTCAAGGTGCAAATTTCCCAAGTGACAGGCAACCACATTGCACATAGTCCAGCCGCTAAAGAGCGCTTCCTACTTACTACTCCCTCTCTATGCTCTAGGTTTACCTTTTTGTCTGTAGAAAGCTTGCAGTAGAGGCAAAGATCTGAGTAGATTTCTGAAATCAGGATGATGTGATCTGTGAATTTGTGTTCCTGTATTTACTGCTTAGGAAATTGTGTCAGACATTATGAGAAGGTATCTCTTGAGTTGGGAAATTAAGAACTTATACTGTATCCTTTAGTTGTAAATGGCTATTTAATGTATAAATACAGTGTGTATCCATTTCTTTTATTTATGTACTTAACCTAACATTCAGAAATGTAGCTTTGGAATTGGAGAAGGAAGTATGCATATAATTCTTAATTAGTTCAGTTCATTGTGTAGAATTGTTGTAAAGTGAAAATATTTTTCAGATGCCCTTTAGAAAGGTGAAATGGCACACACCAGAATAAGTCTTCCTGTCTATGTAGCACTTCTTTTATTTTAATGTACTGCTGTTGCAGCATTTCTTTCGAGTGTGGGTGTACTGTTTCTTTGACATGCAAAGCAAAGAATATGGACTTTATGGTGACACTCCTTACTGTGAATTTGAACAAGACATGTAGAAATCTCTTAATTCTTTGGGTGTTGTATTTTTTCTAGACAGGGATAGTTATTCACACAAAGCTCTATATTTTAAAAAGTATTCACTGGTTTATTTAGTAGAGTTGGATTGGGTTTGCATTGCAAGGTTTTGGTGGCAGGGGAGATGCAGGATTGGCTTCTGTGAGAAGCTGCCAGTGATGGTGGTAGCATCTCTGGGATTATATATTTTAAAAGGGGGGAAAAAGTTACTTCACAGGACCAATTACAGCTGGAGAGAGGAGTGAGAATATCTGAGAGAAACAGCCCTGCAGACATTCAGGTCAGGGCAGAAGGAGGGGCAGGAGGTGCTCCAGGGGCTGGAGCAGATTCCCCTGGGGCAGCCCCTGGTGAGGCAGCCGTGCCCCTGCAGCCCAGGGAGGTCCATGGTGGAGGAGAGATCCACCTGGAACTCCAGCCTGGAGCTGGTGGATGTCCAGGGAGGCTGTGACCCTGTGGAAACCTTTGCTGGAGCAGGCTCCTGGCAGGTCCTGTAGCCCTGTGGAAAGAGGAGCCCATGCTGGAGCAGGTTTGCTGGCAGGACCTGTGACCCCATGGGACACCATGCTGGAGCAGGCTGTGCCCGAGGGACTGCTCCACATGGAAAAGGACCCACACTGCTGCAGTTTGTGAAGAGCTGCAGCCCATTGGCAGGACTCACATTGGAGAAATGTGTGTAGTGCTGTCTCCTGTGGCCAACTTCAAAAAAACTGTACAAGAGCATTCCAGGTTTTCATAACTTCAACAGAACAAGATTTTATTTTTCCTTGCCAATGTCACTCGTTTATTCTGTGATATGTTGGTTGTAAATTGCTTAATGTTTGGGTTATTAATTTTAAAGCAGGAATTTTATTAAGAGTGTTCATGTTTCTGGATGTCCCTGAGGAGAATAATATGCAGAATTTTGAGAGTTGTGTTTGAGTTCTGCAAGCTGGACTAGAAAATACTTATTCATACTCAGAAACTTAAGACATTTCAACTGAGAATTAAGTTCAAGTGTTAATCCATGGAATAACTCTCATTTTGACACTTTTTTTTTTAAAATATGCAAAGATTTTTTTTTTTAATTTCAGTATTTATAGTTTGGGGGTTTTTTTTAAGTGAACTACTGGCCATTGTTAAGCTATTCTGTGAGCTTTGAGGCAGGAAATCAGAAAATCTGTACATTCCAATTGAGCTTCTCAACTGTTTATTTCTTGCATCAGTCTCTATACTGGTTTTGTTACAATACTGTGATTTCTAGAAGGGAATGTTTACTCCAAACTTCCCTCAGCTGCATTTATATTGTATTTGCAATCACTTGTGGCACGATTTACTCGATTTACTCGGGGCTGTTGCTGTGGAATGTTACAGAACACATTCATTGTTTCTTTTGTTGGGAAGGTTTCACCATTGGCTCTAATTCCTTTGGAGATGTGAAAATAAACTAGAGGCTCTTTAAAAGGTTCTCTGTCTTTATGTGTTGCTTCTGACAAAACTGGAAGATTCATTGGCCTCATTTTCATGAGCTGGCAGTAAAAGATTCTTTCAGTCTTTTGTCCTCTTTCAGCAATATTCAACATCTGCATGTGCTCTTTAATCTTGCTTTGATTTGTAAGTGATAGCAGAAGTCAAGTGTGCCTCTTAACCATACAAAAATGTTGGGATAAAATCTAGGTCTTCCCATGATAATTGAAGTTCTGGCTGAATTGATCATTCAGCCAAGGTTATAAATCAAGCCTGGCGTTACTGCCTACTGGCTGAGTGTCTGTTTTCAGAGTGTTAGATTAACTCCTTTTGTACAATTTACCCAACTTTATACTCAAGTTGCAGGGGATTTACAAATTAGAGATTCCTTTTTGGGGAGAGCAGGTTGGAGAGGAAGATTTATGTCTGTTTAACCTATTCCTAGAAAGGTTTATGTTGCTTAGGAAAGCTTATTTGGTTTCCATGGTCTGCTATACACATAAATCTGCTTTGTCATCCATCCCTTCCCACAGAGGTGTTAGGAGGAGGCTGTTCTTGGACATGGCTGCTTTAGTCACTTAGAACTAAGACATTCTGTAAGTGCAGCTACCTTATTATATTTGTGCCAGTATAGTTTTTGTTCTCTCCCTGCTGCTTATGATCTGTGGAGAGGCAGCAGACATATCTCAGTTGCCATCTATTTTGGTTTTTATTTGACTTTTTTTCTTATGACTCTCTCTAAAAGACATCCTTTGCTTACCCTAAGAATTGCAAGGGTTTAAGTTTTGTATCCTCATTAGAATATTCCTCAGAAGAAAGATGAGAATGCTGTGGAATCATGGTTAGAGCATGCACTTATGTGGATTACTGTCAGCTCTTTGCACCTTTATCAACGTGATTACTGAGTAGTTTGGTTAGGGGTCACTCTACATTGCCTTCTAGAATTGAGGGCTTTCTTTGGTTTGGTTCTGAAATATTTCTCATTTGTTAGTAGTGAACATACTCACTACTTCTATTTTATGTGAATGCTTAAGGAAGAGTAATTGGATTTCTTTGCTTCCACTTGGGGTTTATAATGCAAGTACCATGAATAAAACATCAGGGCTATCTCTCAGCTGTATTACTGAAGCATAACATTATGTAGAAGCTTGAAATCAGATTTCCTCTTTCCCTGTGGAGGTTAAAAAGCCCAGTGAACTCTTTGAGCAGGTACTGGCTTCAGGCCAAGAAATAAGGTGTGGAGTGCTGGCTGCACTGCATATAAGCCTAGTAAAATCTGACTTCTTTAATGCTTGGCCTCATAAGTGAATCTCAACTTGGCTTGCAAAGATGACTGCTTGAAACTATTAGTTCCTCTAGGTCTAGTATTTTACATGCAGAAAGCATGCCTAGAGGCTCTGCTTTTCTGTGTCAGGGATTTAAAAACCTGGAGTGACTTGACAAGAAAGTAAATGAAAAATGAGACTGCTCAGGTTAGCTGTTGCTGATTGTAGGTAAGCAGGGGAAGCACCAGTGAATTAAGTCTGCTGTTTGAATACAGCATGTCTCATGTTTTTATTAATTATATCTGACTGCTATTGATGCATTAGCCTGTGAATGTAATGTAAAAGATTTTTCATTTGACAGATTAAACTGTCTTTCCCAGGTATTTGCAAAAGCCTTTACGTTCAGAGTATGTCTAGATCGTATTCCAATTTCAACAAATGAGCTGACTGCAGATGCAAAATAAGAGCAGAATGTATAGGAGTAAGGAAAAATTGCTATATAGTTAACTTGCTGGGTTGTTGCATAGAGCCACAACATGACAGACAAAACTTTTCTGAGTTAAAGAAGCTTATGTTGGATTACGCAACAGATAAATATTAGCTTTTCATATTGTAAGTACTGGGATTTCCTTGTAACTCCTCCTCTATATCCTCTTAATAGAGCTTGCATAAGAGTAATAGGAAACATGTATGTTACAATTACTTTTCTGTTCTTGCTTAATAGTGAAATATTTGCATTTCAGGTCAAATCAAAGATAAAGTCAAAGAAAGGGAGAAGAAGCAAAAAGAAAAGAAGAAGCACAAACTAATGAATGAAATCAAGAAAGAAAATGGAGAGATCAAATTGCTGCAGAAAGGTAGGTTTGAACTATGTAGTGATTTTTCATTCTAGTGCTAGAAGTATATGTGATTGGATGCTGTGTTTTAATACTATGTTTTTCATTTAACTCATGCCATTTTTCCTGGTTACTGGTACAAAAGTTGCAAATTAAAACCTGATAGCGATGTTAATTTTTTTGTCAACTGTGCTAGGTACTGGAAATTAAAGATAAAACTATCATCACAGTGTTGTATATACAACAGTAGTAACAGGAAAGACCAGTAGTTCAAGGAGCAATATTAATGATTCTTGAATTACTGCTTACAAGATGTAGTTTACCATTTTATATCTTGTGGAGAGGAAAGATGAATGCATGTTACATTTTATGTCTAAGATTAATTGTACAAGACTGAGTAATTAAGAAGTTGTAATTCAGGAGCTTTGTCAGATATTAGGCAATTGTATGCAACATGCAGTCTTAATTTTGGCTAATTTCTTCAACTTTGTTTTCTGTAATGAAAAGTAGTTAAGGTTACATTCTCGTGTGGCTTGTACATCTATTGAATCTTAGAACTGTACAGTAGTTCAGGTTGGAAGGAATCTAGTCCTGTCTAGAACTGCACCAAGCATGATCAACTAGAGCAGATTGCCCAGGATTATCAGACTCTTTATCTCCAAGGGTGGAGGTAACAGTCTCACTGGACACTACATTCAGATTATACGTACAGAATTTTTTTTATAATGATGATGAGACTGGAACAGGTTGCCCAGAGAGGTGATTGAATATTCCATCCCTGGCAGTGTTCAAGGTCAGGTCAAGAACTGGGCTCTGAGCAACAGAGCATCTGTGAAGATGTTCCTGCTAATTGCAGCGAGTTAGACGAGATGGTCTTGAGAGGCCCATTCCAGCACAAGCTATGTGTCTGTTGTATGGCCTATGAAGAAGGGCAGAGACTGCTGGGACTAGTAGGCCTGGAGAAGAGGAGGCTCAAGGGGGATCTTACCAGTGTGTGGAAAAACCTGATGAAAGGGAATGAAGGAGGTCATCAACCTTCACGGGTTTATTTCTTCCAGGTGCAGGGTTTTACCCACCCCTCTGTTAACTTCATGAATCCCCCAAGTTTCTACATTTCTACAGCCTCTTGAGGTCCCTCTCACTGACAGTGCAACTCTGTGGTGCATCAACTCCTTCCAGTTTTGGATCAGCTGCAGCTTTCTGAGGGTGTGCTCTGTCCCATGATGCCATCAATGGAGAAGCATTGATGCAAAATACTAAGGTCTGGATTACTCCAGCAGTGACTGTTTCCAGCTGGAATTCATCCTGCTGCTCACAACCCTTTGAGCACAGCACTTAAGCCAGTACTTGAACCACCTTACTCTTCACTTAGTCATGCTGCATCAGATTTTCTGTGAGGGTGTTGCTTATTTGAGTAGACCAAATGCTTTTTAATGTTATTTTCAGACTCTGCTTTTGAAGTTAGGAGCAAATTCCTGATATGTTTTTCTGTTACCTCATATACTGTAGGATTTAATTTACAAACCAGAAAGTGAAACTTTCAAATCAAATCTTGAACTTCAGAGTGCTTATAAGAGGTCAGAGACACAGAACCCTGTAATTACTATATCATGTATTATACTCTACACACAAGTAACTGTATTAACAACAATGGCAGCTTAAAACATGTGTTGATCAGATCTTAGAGGACTGCTTTGAACTTGAGGCTTGTGTAAGCTGGTGACTTCCTGTGAAAGGTACAGCTGTGACTAGGTCTTTGCTGAGCATGGAAGGAAGTCAGTGGCTGAGATACTGGGCAATGCTTAACTGCCATAACAGTGGGTTCTGTAGCCTTTGAGTAGCAGCCTTTTTTTACACTGGGTCCTGTTTCTGTTGCCATTCAGCAGATGAGCTGCAATCTGCCAAGACAGCAAGTTGTTTTATGCTGATCTAATAGATGATACCTAATGAGGGTGTTGAGCCTAAAATTATGCTTTATTTTCATGTTAATGTTAAAGTGTGTATGCCCAGGGACTGTTAGAACACCTCTTAAGAGGCAGGATAGCTTGTTTTCACAGCAAACTGTGCTACAAGCACATTAGATGCTTTACCTCTATTTTATTTGACTTTCTATGACTCAGGTATATTTTATGTTTTCTTTAAGGTGCTGGCTGTTAAGTGTTCTGTAGTTAAGTGTTCTTTCAGGGAAAGAAGGGAGTGAGTCAGGAGAGCAGACAGTTATTTAGAGCAGACAGATCATCTCCACAGGTTTGAATCCTGCTCAGAACGGCAGCTTGTGTCTTCTGTGGGCCTCCAAAATCTGACTGGATGTGCTTGTATGTGCTGTGAGTTTTGTATGACATTTCCTGAGATGTCCTACTGATTGAACTTTACATCCTGGGGGCAAGAGATGAGAGAGCAGAGGCAGAAGTGCTTTATGATGCAGCTTCTTATATATATCACTGATCAGTGTCTCTGTGACCTTTTCAATTACTAACTCTTTATCTAAGAGTGTCTTTTTCCTGTGTAACAAAAGTTGAACTTCAAGCCCTACTGTTTTGAGCTCAGGGTTTACTGTCTGGGCTTTAGAACAAAGTTTTGGAATGAATCTGCTTTCCATTTCTTCAGGCTTTTGTTTTTGTTGGTTTTTTTTGTATTTTTAGTGTGTGTATGTTTAGAGACCAAGAGTACAGTGCCTAAAGACAACTTATTTCCTTCTTCTAGGTATTAGATCTGTATCTTCTTGTAAAATATTGCTAGGACCATCTGTTTGTGACTGACTTTGATTGAGGGGGTGGACATAACAGTCTACGTGACCTCAGACAGTTAAACTGGCTGTCCAAGGTCAGAGGTGATGAGTTACAGAAGAGGTCAGTACTGAGGGACTGATGCCTTTTGAGGGAGAGATGGTGCAGAAGCCTAGTTTTGGTGCTGTAAGCTGAATATGGAAGAGTTTATTTATACTTGGAGGCTCTGGGTTGTGAGCTGTTCATCTGCCTAAACTTGGGTTGTGTTCTGTGGAAAGTGGTGATAAAACTTGCCTGTGTTGGAGAAGGGCAATTCTTAAAAAGGGTTTCTCTGCTGTGCTTGAGGCTGCTAAAGGAAATGAGGCTCTTTCAGAGAGCCTGATGGCTTTTTTTATAAACCTAGAATTGAAAAGTTTTTTTTGTCATCCTTTTGCACTGAAAAGATGTATTCTCTGTAGATAAGGCTGTAGAATTGCCTCTATGTCTCTACTGTGTGGAAGGAAGAGCTCAGTTTTCAGACAAAAACTGCTTGGCACATGCATATTGTTAAAAATTTGGAAACTCTAAGTGATTTAAATTTACTTTCAAGAAAAATCTGCATTGTAAATAGTTACTAGCTAGCAATTGAGCATTTCATGCGAAATATTTGCACTAATGTGATGTGACAAAGTTACTGGAGTTCCTGCAAAAAGGAAGATGATTAATGGGCTTATTTGTAAACAGTCCCATTTCTGTTTTTCATTTAGAAAAAAAGTCAGTCTTGTTTTTCTGATTATTTATATCTGAGTACAGCAACTGCTAAAATGGCAGTAGGAGAAATTCTTAGTATGTGTTTCTGCAGGATTAAACACATTGGTTTGTTGAATGTCAAAATCCAGGAAAGAACTGAAAATCAATATTTTATTTGCTGGCATGAACATATGTAAATACAAATTGCTTTCTAAAGATTTTTCAAAATTACTCTTCTGGAAGAAATTATGTTTAATTGTACATTTTTATGAACCTTTTAAATTTTTTATAGATGGGTTTTTTGTGTGAGTAATTATATATATTGAACATGAGACAAGTCTTTGTGTCTCATTAAGGAAAATGTTCAAGTATTTGTATGCAAAACACTTTAGTTGAGGGAATGAGTAAGACTGAGATAAGAGTGCAGGGCACATCATCCACCTTACTGATTTGTCTGCTACTGAGTTTGCTTCACAGTCCTTATGTACCAAGATATCAACTTTACCAATAAAATACATGAGTACAGGTAAAACACGGATGTCAAATGAGATGGAGCAAGTTGCATCTGGAGGAAGAGCTGTGCTGGAAAGCTTTCTGCTGGAGCCAGGGATCTGCAGTTTGAAGCAAAGATTTCTGGTACTTCAAAATTAAAATGTTTAATTTTGGTGGCTAGGCTCTCCTAAAGCAAGGAAGTGAAAACCGATTTTCATTACTGGCTGCTGTTAAAAATATTTGTGCCTTCCTGTTACTAGCTGCCAGCTAGAAAACTCTGGGAAACAAAGAGTTTACTGTTACTAATTTTTGGGTTTTGTTTTGAAATGTCTAAAGTCCCCATCTAATAATTTTGGTTGTGACCTCTTAGTTGAGAAACAATTGCTCTGGTTGAAGCAACTCAATAAAATATTCAACTTCTTGGTCTCTGCTTATTTAAAATTTCAGATCAAATGATCAAGCACAACAAATGGACAAAATGCAGCATAAAATAAATTTCAGGTAATGTCTGACTTCTTGCAAAAACTTACATTTGGAAGGTGTCTGTAATTAACCAGATATTAGGCTGTGTAGCATCAGTTTTAATTACAAGTATGTGTCATCATGTAATAACAGAGCATTGGCTTATTTGCATAAAATTTGAACAGTTTTGAATATCAGTCCTTAGTAGTAAGTCCCATGTCACTAACAGTGACAGGTATATTATGGCACCCCAAAAAATGTGTGCTGAGTTACCTTGAAACATCTACCAGTCCTATAGATGTGTGCATGCGAGAATTATTTTTCTATTTATGGTACATAAGGCTTGGTACCTAGAAGATGGCTAAATGTTATTTAGCATTAGTTCTGATACTGCTGAGTATGTGCATGCTTGAACAGAATGAAGAGAACTTAACATTCTTCTGGTTTCTTTATTGATATGTTGCAAATTTTGTAACTCTGTTCTTGTGTTTAGCCAAATAAGAGCAGAAGCTGTTCTTCATGTTTTATAGTCCAGTGAAGTGTAAGCTCAGTCTGCATTTTAACAACAGGTCAGAGGGGAACGTTTCTGTAAATATGGATGCTGAGAGTGTT